CTCTTGTTTCATAATTGTTGAGCTTACTTCCATTTCAAGTGAAAGTGTTGGGTGAAGAGATTCGAAGGTCAGTTCCACCAGAAGAAGATGGCGGATTTCTCTTGACCAGCTGTCGATTGGCTTTACTGGAAGATTCTTGCTGCCTCTGTTTCCGAGGCAATCTCCTTCGATTCCGGTCATAGGACGGGCATCATCAGAGCGAGGTATCATCGTCGCAACACAATTTAAGCTAAAGAGTCAAGAGTGAAAAATGTAAGCCTGAATCTTCCAGTAAAGCCAATCGACAGCTGGTCAAGACGACTCTGTCGTCGTCTTCTGGTGGAACCGATCTTCGAATCTCTCCACCCAGTCCTTGGCTATGCCTGTACTTGTTTTATTTAACCCAAAGCAGAAGTATTAATGCGTCATCCCTCGCATTCCGCGACTCTCGTTCTGTCATCACCAAGGCTACGGACGCCTCACACCGATCACTCAGTCTGGCCGGCTCTTCTGTATCTTCTTCACGTTGCTCGGCATTCCGCTGACCCTAATCTTCGCCTCAGCCTTTGTCAGCCTCTGCATGCGGCGCGTTCGACGTGACAGGGACCACTTTATCTGTTCCCATTTTCAAGTGCCCTCTTCAAGATGCCAAGCAACTCCGCAGTCCGGTCTAGCAGAACTATTCGAAAACGAGGCTGTTTGCCGACTCGACTTCCCCGCAGTCGTCGCCTCGGAAGCTGTGAACTCGACTTGTCTTCTGCCCATCGACGGAGAGGCGACGGATGGTGCTGCATCGTCGCCGTTGACCCAGCCTCGACTACGACTCAAGACACGTCCTGTCTCACTCATCCTCGCCGCAGACGGTGCCGGATCAACGCGAGACGCCGAAAGTCAGGCCCAACCTGAGCCGGCGTCCACCAACCGTGTCGCCATCTCCGCTTCTCGGTTTCAGGCGAATCAAGCCGCCTCGCTTTCGCCCTTGCCGTCGGACTCGGCGTCCGAGACCGGGCCGGCTTGCGCGAGACTCGAGGGCCGGTCTGTTGGGCAAAATCTCTCCTGTCTGCCGATGGA